TACGGGGCTTTAGCGGGGGTTATCACTCGTTTTATACTGTTCTTTTCGCCAAGGTGTGCGGGGGTTTTGACTACATTTAGACGCAAGTATCAGGGAGCCGAGACAAAAAGCGGGGCTTTAGCAGTGCTTAGGCGGGGATTCGCTTTCGACGCCATCTTGAATAGGCACGCGAAGATCACTGGGAGAACGCACGGTCTCACTTCACTCACAATGGCGGCTGAGAGTAAAAAGGTATGTTATGTGCGAGTTAAAATCCTTTCATTTCACGCTTGTAAACAGGCCATCAAGTAAACTTGGTGTTCAATTTGTTAATGTTATGATGTCTTGTAGTAGAATTCGTAAACGATTTGTATCATGTATGTCACAGCCACGCTTGATTAGCGATTTACATAGAGCGGTGACCTTTTGCCTGAAATTCATTGCCTTTGGAAATATGTTCTGTTTTTAAATAGGGTGTTGTATTAAATGCATAAAACGAAGTCGCGTGTATTTAGTACTGCCATTGTCGTCAACCGATTTTATATCTTAAAGCTTATTTAAGGATTTTAAATTGTAAATGAAATAGCATAAACTTTTGTTTTCTATTAGCGGTTCAATACAAAGACAGCCGGTGGGCAGTTGATATTTTGGTCGACACCGTGTATTTGTTATCTTTTGAAGATACGGTACTATATTGCCCCAGAGGCGGGGACCAAAAGCGAGGTTTTGACGTTCAAAATTGCCCTACATAGCGGGGAATTTGCTTCATTTAGAAGGCGGGCCTAGTCTTATGCCCCGCTATTCCCCGGATATGGGAGTGCGGGGCTTTCCGCTGATTTTTCACTCATTAATACTGTTAGCAGCTGGTAGTGTTAATGTAGTTATAGGCCAAAAACAGTTTCAGCCAAGCCGGATTCACGAAAAAAAATTCGTCTTGTAAGATTTGCCTAGCTGAAAATTACTCGACCCGATGTTATGGTAGTCTGAGGTCCCTTTGTGCTGGGGTAAGGAGACGGCTGAAAGTTCAGAACAATAAATTTAAATAGCTAGCCCCTGGGTCTCTTGAGGAACCGTTTGGTTTGTGGAATATTTCATTTTAAGACAACTCGGACACTGATTAATAGGCCACTTCCGACTTCGAAAAATCCCTTGCTTTCAAAACTGAAAGTCAGAAGTGCAAAATCTTTCATGTAAAAACGAGTTTTGATAATTTTCAGTGGCTTAGCACTTACACTCGTTTTGAAAAGGAGGCTTCGGCGACTCGATACTCGCCAAAGGTAGCCGAAAAAAATTACCCTATTATTTCTTTTCGAGTTTAAGAAATCTCCTTTGGTTAAGTCTACATTTTTTTCATGACATAGATGATCTGGCTTTTCGGACTTAACTGTTTAAAATATCTAAGTGGCATTTAGGATGCACTGTTGTCCCATAATCCGATAAGAATCGCCCTCGGCAGGTATTATTTCTACGTCAGGTCCCTTTTCATCCTTTTGTTTACCTAAGAATTTTATCGGCCTTTAACCAACAAAGTTGGCTCTAATACTATTTTTTCATAGTATTTTGTAACGGCCGGTTCTGATTTGTTTCAGTTTGTCTTCTAGCAATGCAGTATTGAAGACAGACAGGAGCCCTAAGAGAATAATTTGAAACTTTCATAGCGCATTTTCCATGCATTCAAAACAAAAATAAACAATAAGTTAAGAGCTAGAAGTCAGGCATACTACATACATACACAGGGCAGCCAAACAAATCGGTGTGACATATAATGTTTGAATTTTAGAGGAACTTTAAATCGCTATAATTTGTCGTTTTCAGATGCAAGAACGTAACCTGAGATCAGGCTCTGTTTTCGAGAACCGCTAAAATTGGGCCTGATCTCAGGTTAGCAAGAACGACAATACACAACATTTCGGGTAAAAAGTCATTTATTTCAATATGATCGCTAAGTTTCCCTGAATAGTATAAATCTTAGCTCTCCTATATATTCCATAAATATTGTAATGCTGCATTCTCAAAAATTCCCATAAAAAGTGTGATTTTTAGCTGAGAATATAATACCTTTCGGTTAAGGATATCATTAAAGTCAAGGCGACGTATACAAATAAGCTCCGGAAAACGAGTAAGCATTCCCCTTAAAAATAATCATAATTTTGTTCAATATACCTTAAAATGAGAGAAGCGTAGTGAATTGTTAATCGTTTACGTAAACCTGGACTCCGGATGGGCGTAAAATGGAATATTTCAGGGTAAACTTTGCACGTATTCGGGTTTTGGTCACGTGACTGCCCAGCATCGTGTACCGGTGCAATCCTTGCCGTTTGTGTTTCACTGTCACGCCATCAACAATAAAGACGCAAACCAGTCAATATAGAAAGGCCAGAATCTGGGAAATGAAAGAAAATAAATACATAAAACGCCTCGCCAAGAATCAGGTCTGTGCGATAACTCCTATGCGAGACATTCGGAAAAACGTTTTATCCAACTTTATAAGGCTTTTTTACTTCACAGCAAAAACCAAATACCTCAAAAGCAAATACCCACGGCAAAACCAAAGCTATTTTGTTTTTGCTGTGAAGTATTTGGTTTTGCCGTGACAGTTGTGGGCCACCATAAAGGTTGTTTGTTTTATAGCTGATATAAAAGCCCTTATGGAGCGGTGTATCAATCTACCTTCCCCTCCCCTACCAAAAGGAGACTTCGCGCCCTTTCGAGAGATGTACTTGACCAGCGGAATTATAAGTTGCTGAAATGCAGCACGCTGCGACTCACATAGTGGGATTAATGGACTGTTGGGATTTAGCCATTATTATCCCATAAATTATAAGTATCCGCATTTTTGATTTCAGCACAGTTTAGTTTGCTGACTCTTGTTCTTGATTTTGGTCTGAGTTGACCGAGTTAAGATCCGCGAGATAATTTTGCGTAACAATTTGAACTTCAATGATCGACGACACAGGCAGCAGGAAATATGTGCCGATCGTCTGGTTTTAAATCTCTTGTTATTTTTGCTGTTGCTGTGTCATTAATAAGCGATGGAACTTGTGAAAGAGCCTTAGAAGGTAAGTTTAACTGTTTGCCATACGACTGACTTCGACGTTAGTAGGCAATATCCAAGCGATATTCGAACAGATTAAACATTGATCTAAATTTGACGTGTTTTATATAAACTGGACGTTGCAGACAGACATTGCATCATCTAGTTTTACGTTTTGACCGGCATGTTTGAGCAGCGAGGCTCCGTGTATTTTACTCTATACATAATTGTCTTATGTCATCAGTAGTAAGTTAAATAGTGGCATGAATATTTTGAATTTACAGTAGTTTCATTTATCCGTTTAGCGCTTAGCCCAGCTATTAAATTTGCCGCCCAAAGCAGCTGTGTTATTATTTGTACTAATCGAGCCCTTAAATGACGTTGAAAGACATAGAACATTCCATCGATGTTCCTTATTCTTTCAAGTTCTTTCGAGAATGGTACATGCTTATGCAAATGATTTTAAGAGCGTGCGATAGTCAGGCTTCTACGCTAAAAGTTCAGTGATTATCTACAACTGCTTCAACAAATTCTTCCTGTTATGAAATGAAATGAAAGAAGATTTTTCAGTTTCATGAGTTTTGTACTAACATATGGTATACCACCACAACTTTTTAACAATCTTGGCTTAGTTTGGCGATGATCAATTCCCTAAACTGACTGTGTTTTTGTTATTCAAATTTTATGCACGCTGTCGACATGCAGTTTAGTGGTAAAAAAAAAACGTTGATACTTGACTGGCCAAGTGTGGCAAAAAGGAAGGTTAGCTCAAAGGAAAGGGCACTGAAGTCGAATCAGGCTGCAGCACGTTCAATAAACATATCATATTAAGGCCATCACCTAGAGCCCATGTATTGTCTCTTCGTCGCTCTCCTGTGGTGTTTTCAATTGTATCAATTGTATTAGTCTTCATATTATTGTTTTGCTTTGTTTGATATGATAAAACTTGTCTCACGCTGCATTCAATGTGTTCGTTTCCGCAAGCGTCGCTAATGAAGTCCTTTCAGACTGAATTTTTCCTGCCGTAGCGTAGAACTCTTGCAGTTTTTTAACCAGTTTTAAACCTCACAAGGTAGTATTGTCCTTTTTAACCAGCCTATTGATATTGTTTAAAATGAAAGGAACTTTTTGTTTTCTTTTTTAACCTGTATAAATCAGTTTAAGATCAGAAGCGGAGTTTATTTGCCAACTCTCGAAATCGAATCCGTCAAATGTTGACGGCTTCCCGTGTTTAACGAAAAAATCGCTGGCCGCTTTGAAATTTCGATAAGATAAGTAGACAGCTACATTGAACATTGGAAAAGAAGACGTCTCTGACCCGTTGATTCTTATCATTATCTGGCATGCAAGCGCTCTTTTTCGCGATAAAAGCTTTTATGAACTTGCTAAAAGAAAACGCGTGCCCCAGTCTTCCTAGACATCTTAGGCAAAGGGGGAAGTGTAACTTGTAATGCTGAAACAAGGAACTGAAATTTTTTCACCCTCCTAGAGAAAGAGCTTGTTTCGCTCTTTTTTTCAAAAAATTAAAATAAACGACTGTGCCATAAATAAAGTTGCCTTATCGCAAAATAAGCCGATTGGAGAATTATCACCCAGCTGCTAAATAAAGAAAAGCAAAAACAATGAGCTCTCTTGAGGAAGTTTCATATTTTATGCGTTGAAACCACGTGTTTCTTTCATTTAAATACTATAGCGAGTTGATAGCAGCGTGGAAATTCTATTGTATAAAATCACATGACTTTTGTGCATATGTTTAAATTTCGGTGTAAACGACATTACTTCAACTAGATTTTTGAACGAAATCGGAAGGTTGTGACGCAGTCCTACAGTTTTTAAGTTATCAAGTTTTCCGTGGACGATTGAGATCTGACCGTGCTCAGATAGGCTGGAGTGGAAATCTTGCCATTTATTTTACAACATTTGGCATCGCCGTATCCGCATATAGACATTATACACAGAGTGGAAATTTCTCAGTAGCGAATGAACTATGCCGTTTTTCATCGCCAACAAAGTGCGGATTGTTATGACCTCTTCGTGCCCCAGTCACGGTGGACTTTGGCTTTTCATTTTATTCCTTTGTTTCTGGCGCAACACGGAATCATCTAATCAGGGTAAGCGGACAAATTTTGTTATTATTTTAAGATCACGTGCTTTGATTTGTTAACTTTTCCTCGTAGATCAATTCTATTGTTCGTGAAGGAGAAGGCTTTCCAAACATTTATTCATTATCCTGTCTCTTTAGGACACATAAGTGGATGTTCGATAGAATTATGATTTTCTTTTCCCAAATCTCGGCGATTCTTCTTCGAGTTGTTACATATCTACATAAGAGGTCCTCACAAATGTGTACTGTATTTTCAGTGGAGTGACGTAAGCCAGTTTTGAGCTGTTTATACTACGAATCATATATAATCATTTGCTACAGTTTTTAAACCGGGATCAGTGCCCCAACTACAACGTCTATTATTTTCTAATCTGTTAGTTTTATTTACTGAAAGCCGAAAGAGATACGGAGCGAAAGTAGTCTTAGTGTTTTGCTTACAGAGTTGCAAAAGACTACTTCAGACCATCGCAGCTTGGTAAAACGGCTTGTTATTGTAAAACTTTGTTATCGGTGAAAGTGTCGAGTAGATGCATTAAAAGAATTAACAGAAAAAAAGAGCTCGTCAAAAACATTCCCACTGGAACTGAACAACGAAAGAACTGAATATTTTCAGTTTTTGACTCGGATGGTGGAAATAAAAAGAAATCTTATCCTGGAAACCAGACAGCCGCAAAGTGCAAATTGTATTGAAAACTGTGTCGGTTTTAGTAAGCGAATACGCCGTATTCACAAATGGCGGACACGCGGGCAAAAACTGGTGCCTAGTTATGAAAGCGAGGCGTTGGAGGATAAACAAAAATTGCAAATGAAGACTTTCAGTGAACTTACAGAGTATTTAGCACGGATTCCACCTAAAATAACTTTGTACGGACTTCTTTTTAAATACAATTACGTGGGATGTCTTCTGCCTTTAATGTTTAGTAGTGATTTGCTGTTTGCAATCAAAAGGGACGCGTATATCTTCAAGGAAACAGGATGATTTTGTAGGTTTCATGGACGATCGCCGGAGAAAAGCGGCAAACATGTTGGCCCAAACTTCACATTGAAACCGAGTACGAAAGCCAGCTCACTGCAATTCGGTGAAACAGAAATATTAACAAATCTTGGTGGCAAGGAAAAAAGAAATAAGCGACAGATATATGGCCTACTTGTTAACGCAAGAGACGTCTGCCGTTGAACTGAAACACATGGAAAAAAGGAAGACAGGAAAGAAGAGGTGACTGAGGTTTCGATGAAGTTATGTTTGGTTTTTGTTTGCCAGGACGTTATTCTCTGGTCTTTATCGATGAAGGACATCAATTAGAACTATTTTTTTAGTATAAATGCAGGAGCGATCGAGTGGAGTACGCTCAAAATTTCAACATGTTACTCGGCAGACTCGATAAGCCGGCCATATATCATTTCAGCGAGAAATTTCGTATTTCTTATCTTTGGCTGTTAAAACTTTTAACTTAATGTTTCATAATATTTTAAAGTTGAAGAATACATAAATAAATAAAATGATGGTCTTCTTAAACGGATCCAGACTCGAATTTTATTATTCGAAACAGAAGCTTGCAGTGTTCATTCCTGACACAAACATTGCCTTAAAAGTTTAACCTAGTAAAATGTAAGCTTTATACTACTTTTTTACCAAGAGCTCTCTGAGATAATGCCCTAAAGGAGACCAGGCAAATAGCAAGCCATAAGATTCACACAGTACAGCTTCTAATTTTAATAAAATAATTTTTAATTATTTCGCAATGACAAAGAAATCATGAGATTTTTACTAAGCTCTGCCAACATACCTCAGTAACAATTCACTCCAAAGCGACGGAATTAATATGATCCAAAGGAAGTTGTAAATGCAGAAATACATATATACATAGATATGTATAAAATGACACTGACACGAATAAATGAGCCTTGTGAATGAATCTTTCACCCGCTCTCGACTTGACCTGTTTTGTGTAATGGCGGAGGTCTCTTCCGTTAACAAGTAGGCCATATATCCGTCGCCTATTTCTCTTTTTCTCGCCACCAATATCTGTTTTTATTTCCGTTTTACAGAATTGTAGTGATCTGGCTTTCGTACTCGGTTTCAATGTGAAGTTTGGGCCAACATTTTGCCGCTTTTCTCCAGCCATAGCCCACTTGTCAAGCTTCTGATGCTTCGGAAACCTACAAAATCATCCTGTTTCCTTGAAGATATAACGTCCCTTTTGATTGCAAACAGCAAATCACTACTAAACTTTGAAGGCAGAAGACACCCCACATAATTGTATTTAAAAAGAAGTCCGTACAAAGTTATTTTAGGTGGAATCCGCGATTAACACTCTGCAAGTTCACTGGAAGTCTTCATTTGCAATTTTTGTTTATCCTCCAACGCCTCACTTTCATGACTAGGCACCAGTTTTTTCCCGCGTGTCCGCCATTTGAGAATACGGTGTATACGGATTGTTATTTACGGTCTAGACAGTGAGCCAGACTGTTTTGTTCTCATTACTCATTTTCAAAAGGTTATACAGCCATAGATTTGCACTGTGGTCATTATAACACAACGAGGAAGGAAGAAAAGTTATAGAAAAATATATCGAGTCTAATGCAATATAAAACATAACAACTGAAATGCCTGCAACCTACTGAACACCCGCCCCTACCCCTTATCCTGCTTTTTAGTTATTAACGACCACAGCCTTGGGACTGAAATACAACTCACAATTTTTTCAATACAACTAGATTGTGTCTTAATCATTAAACTGATTTTAGTGGATTTTAGTGAACAGTACTGTTAACCCTACAAGAGAGATTTTAAAATTACAAATGTGAGCTTAATAATTGGCCTCAACATACTCCCTCCCCTAGATTCCCCAGCCCTTTTTATCTTAGGGAGTTTTTTGAAACCTTTTTTCGAACCATAAAGTATCACTAGTTTCTTTTATAGCAGACAGTAAATACAGAATTTTATTGCAGTTTACGAAACAGAATGCAAATTTTCAAAAAAATTATTCAACTATTCTAGACAAAAAATGTTTTCTAATATGCCACCATCCAATGAGATAACTGCGATAATAGAACATAACAAAAGGTGGGATCCTCGGCACAAGAAAAATGCGGTGCCACCGTTGAAATACAAACATTGATCGCTGACAGAAAACGTTGGTCGTGACTCTTGTCAAAACAAAGACAATAGTTAATACAATATACAAACTGGTTTTCAAAATCAAGCGACAGCTATGCCAGCAATACTGGTGAATTTTAAGTGAATTAGGTAGCTATTTGTTCACAAGTTTGTCCAACAAACTCATCAGTGATTTAGTTTGGTCTTGTTGCTGTCTCAACATCAGTTGTTGTGACGCCAAGAGTTGCTGTTGCTGCTGTTGTTGTTGTTCTTGCATTTGCCGCATCATTTCACTTTGATTCGGACCTTCTATCCACAGCAAAGACAGGCTTGGGACAGGTATTCAAAGTGTTGGCTACTCTATCCCAAATTTCGCTTCTTTGCGACGAACCCTTTCTTGTTTTGAACGGATTCTCGGAAACAACCTCTCTGCATAACAGGACATCGTGCTCGCTTGTCCAGTACATCACATTACTGCGTGAAAAAAAAAAACAGTCTGTTTTAGTTTGTTTTCAATGAAGAACATAAATATAAAATTTAAACTAACTTTAATCTTACATTTAAGCAGGACAGGAAATTGAATCTTCTAATAAACTAAATTGGACTTACTTGCCAGTTTTCGACTTTGGTATCGAACTCGGCGGGTCTGCGTGTTGTCCATTCATCATAGCGGTAACCAATTGACCTGCAGTAAAAGGCCAATTAAAATGTTTGTTTGGTATTTTTTTACGATAAATAACATTTTTATGGACTTAGAAAAACAGTTTTGCCTTCAAGGTAGCAAAAGAAAATTTAATTCTAGGTCAAATTCAGTAGAAACTACTCACGTTTTCTGGAAACGCTGCAAGTGCCAACCTCGTGTTCTGAACGTGAAGAAGACGCGTTGCAGTTTAGCGCCAAGCATGCGCAGTGAAGCACTTTATGAGCAAATTACTTCCGGTGACGTTTCAGGCTGCGTCGCGTTCTGGTTCGTAAAGTCCCCTATCACGCTGGCGCTTCTCGCCATGCAAAACCAATTTTTGAGAAAAAAACCGACCGTTTTGCAGTCTAGAAATTTTAACGGATATAGAGTTATTTATCATTATTATTATTTATTATTATTATTATTATTATTATTATTATTATAAGCCGATCACCATGAGTAATGGTAACCTATAGATGCGAGAAATTTTAGAGAGCAGATGACCTTCCTTAAGTCCGTCTACCCACCCCCTACATGTAAGTCAGTGACAAATGTCACATTTTCTTCCAGCACCATAAAATACATGGAAAATGACAATAACCTAACAGTTATATACATCCTTGTGAAAAATGAATTGACAGCTGTGAGAGCCGAGTCTAGTTTTCGACGGAATTTTAATGTCTACAAACAGAGCTAGGTAGAGCTAGGGCGAGAAAAAAAAAAACAAAGGAGACGAATTTCGTGGGAAGGAAAACCTGAAAATTTTAAGATGGGGATAAAAATATTAAAAATGCTAGCGGCCACAAAGAAGAAAATGAGCGGCAGTGCAAAAAAAAAAAAAAAAAAAGAAGCAAACAGGTAGACATACGACAATAGAGAGTTAAAGCTTCTCATGTACGGCAAACGTCAGATTCAGGTGCGTCAGATTCAAGTTAGCGTATGTCCTATAGTTCAAGGGTTATGAATAGTTAATAATCATTATTAATAAACCTCGGATCAGGGTGGCATTTAATTTGTTCAGGATATCTATCGTATCGGTAATTTTTTTTTACTTTCGGAGGGTGATTATTTTCGGGGGGATCGCTACTTTCGGGATTTGCTAATACCTGTGACATTTTATCGCTACTTTTGGAGGTTCGCTACTTCCGAGGGGTTTGTTACTTTTGAGACTTTACGGAATAAGTATATTAACGAGAACTTTGCTTTTAGCCCTAGCTAAATCTATACGTTATTATGTAGATACTCTCAGTGTTCAACTGGCAACCAGTTCCCGGTACAAGTCACATTCTGCAACCTTAGTAGTCGAGAACCCGTCGGTGCATTCGTACTGATCCCATAAGAGGGTAGTTTTTTGAATCTGAGCCACATCAAGATTATCAAGATTCGCCCTAACGTTTTCAAGATGCCCAACTAATCCTTTTGAGATTGTCCTAAGTGCCCGACAACAATAGGCACAACTCTTGTTTTGACCGTCCATAGTTTTCAATTCTTTTGCCAGGCATCCCCTGGTACAGCTACATCAATAATTTGTTGTTTATCTACTACAGCACAGCCAGGTCAGGTCTATTGTGTTTTAGTAAAGTCCAGCTAGTGGTCTTTGATCAATGCTGCGTTCTGATTGGTTGAGCTACTACTAGGCTATATGTTATAGCCCACTAGTATCGAAAAGCGCCGGCTTTGAAAACCAGTACAATGGCGGCTGAATCGCGTTTTGCTAGGCTAAAGTTGTTTTGTCTCGATATTTTTGACCAACTATTTGGATTTTATGAAAATAATTATTCCTCTCGCCCTCACGGCCTCTGAGTCAATAGCCCATTCGGCCTTCGGCCTTATGGGCTGTTGGCTCAGAGCCCATTCGGGCTCGAGGAATAATTGTTAATAAGCTGGTGATCAGTCTGTATGCTAAAATCCCAAAGGATTTTGACTTCCTCGGACTCTCGAACTTTTCCAGAGAAATGCTCATACCACTTGTCAGCAACTTTTAATCCGTGCTTTCTGCACAGGCACCAATGGAGAGCTTTTGCAACACTATCATGCCTACAATCGTGGACAAAACTGTTGAGAAAATTGCATACTTGGGGGGCATTTTTTTAGACTTCGTAGCCGACCGATTCTTCCCTTCCCCCCTCCCCCCTGGAAGCAGTGTTGTTGGGTCTTCAAAGGAAAGCCGGATCTCTAAGCATTTGGCATTTGTAGGAAGCAACTTTGAACTGGGGGAGGGAGTTTTCTTCACGCAAAGCCGTTGATTTGGAAATAGTTTTGTTGCGTTAGGTAGTGCGCATTAATGAAAACATTTTCTCAAGTAGTTTTGTCCAGGATTGTAGATCTTTTAAAATGTTCTCTCTGAGCCAACACTGGACATTCACAAACTTTGTGGCTTGCTGATTCCTCCGCACTCTTGCGCAACCTGCATTTTGAGCAGACAGTCTGTTTTCCAATCTTTGCTTTTACTGCATTGGTTGGCAATGTCTGGTCCTGGGCCGCTGCTAACAATCCTTTGTCTCCTTCTTAAATTCTTCTTTAACCACGTCCAAGAGAGATTACTTGTCACACCCTCTGCATGCCTTAAAAACTGACCATGCAATGGTTTTTCCTTCCAGTCCGCCATTCTCTCTTCATTTCTTTGTTACTTATACTGCAAAGGGTCACTTTCAGCTTTAGGCTTCAAAATGTGGCAGGTAGCTTTCAGCAGCATTTTCTGACTCTGCGGAACATATTGATTCAAACTCAACTGTTCCATGGTGACAATCCGCTGCACTAATCAACCCTCATCCATCTTCCTTCCTCGGCAAGTAGTTTCTACTTGTATTTGCTCGAAGGTTTAGAGCACCATAGATTTTGACAATTTTCTTGTCTTTTTTGTCTTGTCTTGAGAAAACATATTATTATTATTATTATTATTATTATTATTATTACTATTATTATTATTATTATCATCATCATCATCATCATCATCATCGTCATCCTCATTAAACACAGCTTCTGGATGGCTTGCTGGAGTCTTCCTTAAACATCAAGTCACCGCCTGTGACCTTAGGTCTCCAAGACTTTGCGAAGGATTCATGCTGCACCCAGTAAGCATGCTCTCTACAATGATTCCAAACGACATGTGATACCAGTCACTCCTCACCATTTTTCTATATCTTTCGAGATAGTTCCTAATGCACCAATTATGATTGGCACCGAAGTTACTCTGGGCAATTTCCAGATCCGTTTCAACTCCCGCTTCATGGCTTGGTAGTTCTCAATTTTCTCGTTCTCTATTATTATTATTATTATTATTATTGTTATTATTAATATTATTATTATTATTTCTAACCATTCATGTCATTTTGTCCTTCCTAGGTTTGTGTCTTCAAGGAACATTTTTAAAGGGGACATATTGTGTACCCAATTGCGGTCCTGGTTACTATGGTAACAATGTTACCAGGACATGCCGGAAGTGCGACCCGAGCTGTAAAACCTGCCTTGATGGTGATGGGCCGAAGAAATGTTCTAGCTGTAATCCTCCGTTACATATTCAAGGTAAGAGCTATGAGATATGTTGGAGTATCCAGATCATTTTATTCCCGTATCCACTTTTTTTGACCTTTACATTTCTTTCCTGATCAGGACCAAGCGCAGTCTGTCGATAAAACGATATTCGACAACAATCGCCGACAATCGTTTGCGACACCAATCGAAATCGATAAAGAAAAGAGTTTTGACTTCGATTAATATCTATTTCCGATAGAAATCGACAATGATTGACTTATCGATTGTTATTGATTACTACCGATTGACCACGCCTGGCAAAGAACAGCTGGTACCCGTCATCCCACTCACTCCTATCACTGGCTCGTGCTTAAATGATGTATCAGATTCTAGCAATCGAAAAGGCTGTGAAAGAAGAGAGTGCCGCAAGAACCTCAACTCTCGTCAAAGCACCTGAATTCGGGTAACTCTAACATGAAATCAGGCTCTGTTTTCGTTTTGCTTTACAAAAACTTCCGTCGGCAAGCGGGCAAAATTTCAGCGCGGTCACCTCCTTCCTCTCATTTTTGCCTCGTCGTGAGAGACCTCTGCTAGCAGGGAACCTCAGAGAGAGAGAGAGTCGCTTAAAATTAGCCCTCCGAGCAGGCTCACTTTAGCGAGTTTGGGAAGCGAAGCTCGCGAGAAGAATTTTTCCTCGCCCCATTCTTCTGACAGGCTTCTTCGGCTTTTGCTGGTTACTCCACCACTATTTTTTCTCGAACTCGCACAAGTGTGCCTGTTCACCTAATAAATTTTGTTTTTTGAAGCTTTCATGGGTTCTGCTGCAATGATTAATAGCAAAGTAGCTGTTCTGGTGTTAGTAACGAAGAAAGTTTGTTTGGCGTTTAATTTCCATGACACCTTCACAATATCAGCAAGTTTGTAAACATAAGCGGTTTTAAAAGAAATAACTTCTCCAGCATTCCGCATATTACGATAACGTTTCCTACTCATCAGGAACTTCTTGTGTTGAATCGTGTGGTAACCAGCGATCTAAAGGAAGCCCTTACATCCAATTAAGACTCGTGGGTGGCAAAAATCATTTTGAAGGCCGCGTCGAAGTTTACCATGATAACAAGTGGGGGACCATTTGTGATGACTCTTGGGATATTAACGACGCAAAGGTTGTCTGTAGGGAGCTGTTGCTTGGAGACGCCCAGGAAGCTGTAAAGTTTGGGAGACTGGGAACAGGCTTGGAACGTCAGCCTATCTGGCTTACGGAGGTTAGATATCTGTGCTCGGAATGTACAATTTCCATATTTTTAAGCGTCGAAAAGGCAGTTTAATCCATAGGTATCCCTTATTCAAATGCGATGGGTCTGTAATAAAAAAGGGTGTGAAAACGTTTGCTAATGAACAATAGGCTACCTTGGGTGCTAGATACTTGGGGGCCTGGTCAGTGGTTTCGGTCATGTGCCCCCGCGGCTTAGCCTGAGAAAACAGTCGACATTTTGCCATGCCACCACTGGTTTCTCCTTCGAAATGACACCTGAGCAAAGAGCGCCGAGATAGACCTATATCAATATATTAACATTCCTATTAGGCGGTACTAGGCTCGATTTCCGCCGCTCTCACGGTCCGGGCTTATTTCCCTAACATTGGCTGGTAATAGAGCCTACATTCCTGTTTGGCTGCGAGGCGTAGGGGAATAAAACAAAAGAAGCATTAAAAAGAAGCAATGAATAAGACATTTCTTTTGTTTTATTCCCTCAAGCCTCGGAACCAAGTATAAATTTTATTAGTAAAATCCAACTAAGCGGTCTATTATCAATTCTGCGTTCTGATTGGTTGAGCTACTACTGGGCTATATATTATAGCCCACTAGTAGCGAAAAGTGCGGGCTTTTAGGCAGCAAAAAAGGATTAAAGTCCAGCTTTAACTACCTTAAATTTTTTTATTCTCGATATTTTTTACCAACTAGCTGGCCTTCGGCCTCATGGGCTATTGACTCAGAGCCCATTCGGGCTCGAGGAATAATTGTTAAATATATCGAAATTGGTCCATGCCATACTGATGACGTGTCACCACCCAGATTTGGGTAGTACTTTTGGTTGAAGCAAATTTCCTACCCGGCACGACCAATCAGAAGCACTACCCAGATCCGGGTAGTGACGTTTCATCAGTAAGGAATTTCTGCGCTCGTTTCTGTCATTTCGCGGGGAAACCAGTGGTGGAGTCACGAATTATCGGCCGTTTTCTCAGACTACTTGCGGCTTCGCCGCTCGTGGCTTCTGTTGGCCCACAGGCGATACTGAAGCATCCCACCATACGCGAGGAAAAAACCCCTGGCACCCAGGGTAACTGAAGTTCTCGACTATCCGTGTAGGTTTTCTTAATCAGACGTACTACCGATCAGTGCGCTTTTACCTTTTTCTATTCACTTACTTCACCTAAATATGTTGACAGGAGCTAACAGCTTATAGGACTTTGATAATGCGCAAGAATGCAGTGCCAGTCTTTATTAGTTCCTTAAAGATCCAAAGTATTGACACCCCCATTTTGGGTAGCTGCGTTCTTGGTATTGTTAACATTTTGCAAAGTCCTAAAAAATACGCTGGCCAATACTCACAACACAAATGAGTTTGACCAGATGTAGTAGAGTATGACTTTGGCAGAAACTCCAGCGACATATTTCAAAGTGCATTTTCTCGTGCTACGTATATTTGATAACTCCATTTCCGTTCATGTTGTTTGCAGTGATCGATTCATTTGTTGGGGCAAGGCGTTGAAGTTTTTTCGTTGAGTTCGGGTTCTTTTTTAAATAAATTGTTATTAATATTATTATTATTTATTGTTATTAAATTTTAAGATTATGGTAAATTCTCGTCTTCATTTGCCTTTTCCTCAGCAAATTCGATCGGGATAAAACAGGATGTTCGTCTAGCAGAAGTATTTCAAATATCAATGGTCATCCGCGGGGTTGTATTTTTGCTGTTCCTTCCCAGGGCTTTTTTAATAGTTTCGCTGCTTCAACAGAGACTTTGTTTGCAGTGATTTATTGATAATGTTTCTTCTTTTCGAAAATTCTTTTTCCGCAGGTAAACTGCACGGGAAATGAAGCGCGACTTGAACATTGCGAGCACCCTACCTGGGGTACGCATGCGTGCGGGCATTTTGAGGATGCCGGCGTGCGCTGCACCGGGCCTGATACGACAAGAGAATGTGTAGATTCGTGCGGCGAGGGGTACTTTGAAGTGAAGGACACCTTGGAGTGCGGTGTCTGTTTGGCGTCATGTTTAACTTGTGCTTATTCCAGGACGAATTGTACCTCCTGCATTAAACCACGATTCTTAAAAGGTGAGGTGACACTTATAATGCTCCTGATTGTCACGTGGCTAGTGTGCGCCTGTTAAGCCCCCCAGCCCAGGGGGGCCTAATAGAGGATTTACGGCATGTGAAGTTGGGAGTAGGGTATGTTCAAGTTGGGATTCGAGTTCTTGTTCGAGTTCAAGTTTGATTTCGAGTTGGACATCGAGTTAGACTTATTATAACATGAGTTATAAGACGTAAGAGCCTACCGACGCTTTTTTTCTATGTTTTATTATATTTCACCATTATCATTATTATTTTTAAATAGTTTAAATCGAAGTCTAACTCGAAGTTCAACTCGCGCGAAGTCCAACTCGAACTCGAATCCAAACTCGATTTTTCGGAATTCCCTGTGAAGTTCGGCGACTGAAACAACGCCGGTCCAAGGCCGTTGTTAGGGACCTTACGATCCGTCAACGGCGACGCCAGTGAAATGTAGCTGAAAAATGGAGTTCGCGTCCTTTGAATCTTTTTCTCCCTTTCACTTTTAAGTCACCCAATTACTTGATGATAGGGAAGTAACGTTGGAACTAAAGAGAGGGGACCGCGTCCGAGTTCAGAGAGAGCTAGTAAAATTTATCGCCTTGCCGTTCCCGTTCTCAAATCAGCTCAAAATTTGGTCATTTCACGTCGCAGTTTTGAAAGGACGGCAAAGCAATGTACAAAAAAGCGTGCAGAGTTGTTGTTTTGCTTATAAAATTAACCTATTGTGTTTTTGACGTCCTCGTTGCCGTTTGCCGTTGCCGTTGCCGTCGTAGTTTCGTAAGGTCCCTACTCCCGGCTGAGCCAGGTGTTAAGAACGGCTAAACCGATCCAACGCCGTACTTCACTTCAATGAATTCGGTGCGGCTCATGTGAAGTACAGTGTCTTAACCTTGCCTAAGTGTTAAATCGAACCATTCCTTTGCATTTGTTAATTGCAAACTGATATATTTAACCTCATATCGTTGTCCAGGAAACGCGTGCAAGACTTACTGTGGAGATGGTTTCTATGGTGATCTTACCGACCGCAAGTGCAAAGCATGTGATCCCGGATGTCGCACCTGCGCAGATGGGACTTCTCCTAATGTTTGCACAAGTTGTCGTGATGACCGATACCTGAATGGAACAAAATGCGTAGTGAGTTGCGCGCCTAACCATGTCGCCCAGACGCGGCGTGTACGTCTGGCGGGAAACAGGCCGACGCATCTGGAGGGCCGCGTTGAAGTGTTTCGTTTTGGATCTTGGTTTACAGTCTGCGACCAAACGTTTGATTTCCGCGAGGCTTCGGTTGTTTGTCGCGAGCTGGGCTTGGGCGCGGCTATCAAAGCCGTCAAGAGAGCTGCCTATGGTTCAGGGTACGGGCGTGTGTGGACAGACATTCTTGGCTGTACCGGCAGAGAAAGCTCAATCTTCGACTGCCCTTTGGTGAGGCGAAGCTACAGTTCACTTTGCTACCATAGTAACGACGTAGGAGTTAAGTGTGCTGGACCCATAACAAAGCACATTAGTAACCGTTGCGTGAAAACATGCGATCCTGGCTGGTTCAAAAATGACAGGACTGACGTTTGTGCCACGTGTGCCACGCAATGCCTGGAATGCATGGGAAGTAGCTACCGCTGTACAAAGTGTGCGGCGCCGAAATTTTTAAAAGGCATCACGTGCGTGGATAAGTGTGCCGATGATGAATACGGGGACATACCCACGCGTCTATGCAAAAAGTGTGACACGGCCATATGCGTGACCTGTAGCGACGGCTTTAATGACAAAAACTGTACTTCGTGTAAAGAACCTAAAGCGCTTAAAAACGGCCGATGCGAGGACAGTTGTGAGCCTATGTTTAGAAAAAACGGCCGTTGCGTTGAGGACTGTGGCTTGTCGATGTACAAGAACAGCGAAAACTATACATGTCTGCCATGCCCCGGTGACTGCATCAGTTGTGAGTATAGTAGCTCAACGCAGAAACCCGTATGTACCGTTTGTAAGCCACCTAAGGTCTATGATGACGCACATAAGGAGTGTGTCGCTAACTGCTCTGGAGGAAGGTATGCTGTTCCGGTTTCAAATTTCACAGGACAGGCCACCCGGCCCAACATAAGGCTGTCAAACGGTAGGGATTATTTGGAGGGGTTGCTGGAAGTTTATCACGACGGCGTTTGGGGGACGGTCTGTGATGACGGTTGGGACTCGGCGGAAATAACCGTTGTTTGTAGAGAACTGTCTTTAGGGAGAGCGGTAACCAACGTTCCTCTTAGCCATATCAAAAAGGGAACTGGTAAGCTATGGCTCGATGATGTGTTTTGCGTTGGGACTGAGGATTCTCTTATGAAATGCCGTCATCGCCCTTGGGGTCAATCCAACTGCGAACATAACGAAGATGTGGTTCTTCGTTGCACGGGTCCAGGTGTGCGCATGTGCAAAAGCAAGTGCCCCGAGGGATTTTTTTCAAAAGGAACTTCATGCATGAAATGCAACTCGTCGTGCGCCTCTTGCAACGGTACTGCAAGTTTGTGTACTAAGTGTGCGCCGGGCTACTTTAAAAAGAATGATACGTGTGTCAAAGATTGCGGTGTCGGGTTTTACTTGGATAGAGTTTGTAAACATTGTGATTCGGTATGTGCTGACTGTGAATTAAGGGCTGATAACTGCACCTCATGCGCGTCACCATTCTACAGGGAGGGAACAAAGTGCGTTGCAAATTGTTCTGGTTTTAAGCCTTCTTCTGTCCCGCTGCTTCGTCTTGTTGGTAGCCAAAGGCCAACCGAGGGGAGAGTTGAGGTAAGCGGAGATAACTTTCTTTGGTCTATTTTAAGCAGGGAAGCTGTGCAGTTTGCACTGATTCGCGAACATTCTAAGAATGCTTTCTTTAACAATCAGATAATATTATATGATCGTTTCAGAAAAGAAACATTATGTTCTGAATGATCACTGTTCTGAATATGTATACAGCTGATGCTGATATAAACTTTGCGTCCTTTTTCACTAGCTAACTAATTTTTCTTACAAATATGACAAGAAACAGTGATTAAATCAGTGAAGTTACGTGTGCTTTGAGACTTCTAATAATCTCGAACCTATCTGTTCGAGATTTTCGTAGGAAGGCTAATGCCCAGGAAAGAGAGCACCCAGTACAAAGAACGTAAATAGACCATTTTACAGTTGTGGGCTTAGTATTCTAGCCTTTGAGTAAAGGTGAAGCTGAGGTTGACCTTGTTTTGATACAAACCTGTTGCTCTATTTATGGCAATTTTGCTTAAAAAATACTAGTTAGCAGAAGAACAACATTATTTCCAAAACAAGGTCAACGGACTCCAGCCTTGTTTTCACCTGTAACTGTAAAAGGGGATATTGTAGTTTGAGGTAACAAATAGAGCCAAAGCCAAGATTTGAACTATACACCTATACAACGGAGCGACCGAATTCGCACTGTGACCTACACATTTTCAAATATTTGGTTTTCTTTTTTTAATTTATTGGCAACTAGTACAAACTTCGTCATTCCTTAATCCCTAGCCCTAATCCGAAACCGTATTCACGCTTAAGCACGTAGAAGCTAATTTTCTTACTACCTCAACAGTCCCTCTCTCCATCTTGAAAAGATCCCACAAATATTAAGCAATTATGAAATTCGAATAAGGCTAAGTTTGATCGAAAGAATTATGCAGATTGAAGAGGGTATAATCGGCCGGGCGGATAACACCCTCCAGAAATTTTGCTATTTCTTCTTCGGAAAACGGGGCTACCGGAACAACCTGCACTGACACGACGTGGTTATCAGGGCTTACCGGTTGTCTTCCCTTTTTCTGTGGTGGCTTATTGACTATTGACGCCGGTTTATCGGTTATCGCAGGCATTCTCCAAATTTGCCAACAGTGGCGGGTTCAGTGAAGAACTTACCGGGGGATTTGAGCCATTCAGAAGCGGAGAAAAAAATTGAATGAATAGTTAAACGCATTTTGCTAGCATTTACTTTCAAAGTGTTCTATCAAAAGAGCGTCCCTTATTGCTGTTTACCAGCGTGCAACAGGCTGATTTAGCAACAGACCGAGAACGTCATTTGACGACGGGAAAGCGCGCGGAAAGGACTAAACTCTACTTCCGGTGCCCAATTTGCCGCTCTGCCATTGGTCAAGCCAGTTGTTTAATTTGCGCGCGCCGTCGTCAACTGACGTTCCCGTTCTGTTGCTAAATCAGCCTAATGTGTCGCGGAAGGAATGCACTACACCCCGAGGCGTATTGCCCTCTTCGGATTATTTCATGCACTCCATCTAGTTTTAATTAGCTGAACCCTTGTTAAATGACAGCGTTTTCTATGCCAGGTTCTTCACAACGGTAAATATGGCACAGTCTGCGATGACTCGTGGGACATAGTCGATGCAAATGTGGTATGCAGAATGTTGAACATGGGGAATGCTACCAAAGCAGTCGTTAGAGCAGGCTTTGGAGCTGGAAAGGGTGTTGTTTGGCTGGATGAATTAAAATGTCGCGGTGAGTATATACTGATGTCCGTCCGCCGTGTTCTCAGAAGGTCCCAGGCCGCTCGTTTCCACTTCTTACTCTTCCCTTTGTTGGAAGCGAGCGGCCTCGGACTTGCTAAGAATCGGGCTGGACGTCCGTTGGATGCATAAGTAATTTGAATATTTAATGGTGTAGTTAGCAACTCAAACATGTTGTCCAGTAGGCATCCTTGAAGACCTAGTGTCACATAGTGGCACCTTGGTCTCCGAGAATGTCCAGTTAGTTGATATGTCATCAAAATTGTTCTCTGTTAGTTCTGTCTAAACGTTGCGACGTTGATTTTCGCCATGATACACCTTTGTGTCAGTCATATGAATTTTCGGTGAAAAAAAAGAGAGAAAAAATGACATTTAACTGTTGGCCCGTTATTTCGTAATGGTCGGATTTCAGTTAATGTAGTGTTTATGAACAAATCTTTTCGATTCCAAACATACCAGAGACTTTAAAAACAACTGTAAATCTTAACCCTCCTGTGGGAAAATGAAAGATTCATTGTTGACAGTAAACCGAGTTCTCCTTTTAGTAATTCGGTAAGTTGAGAGGGAAAAGTGGATTACGTGACGCATCGTTTGAGTCTCTGATGTGTTCGGGCCCAGCACTTCATACATTCTGTTAGTTGTTAGTAATTAATACCATACTTTTAGTGAACTCAGAAAGCTACCTCCCAAATTTCTACAGGTAACGAGACATCGCTAATCGCGTGTCCGCACAATGGCTGGGGGCAAGAAAACTGCGACCACTCTGAAGATGCTGGTGTTGTTTGCCAGGGTCCCGATCGGTCGCGTGACTGTCTGTCCGTTTGCGGCGAAGGGTACTTTATCAACACCACGGACAACACCTGTGGAAGGTGTAGCCCGAACTGCAAAAAATGCGTTGGTTCACCAGAAAATTGCTCGGTTTGCGAGAATGGTAAATTCTTAAATAGAACTGGTAATACATTCGACTGCGTGGCCTATTGCAAAAAGGGTCAATTTGGGCATCCCGACACACAGGAATGCCAGAAGTGCTCATCGCCGTGCTCTGACTGCGTCGGAAGTTCAAGAAATTGCACCGAGTGCCCCGCTCACTTGTTTCTTCTGGGCTCCTCCTGTGTTCAAAACTGCAGCAAAGGGCAAGACAAGATTGTCAGTGGTGTCTCCGACATAAGGTTGGTTGGCGGTAACAACTTACTAGAGGGCCGTGTGGAAGTATTGCACAATGGAGAGTGGGGTACAGTCTGCGATGATAACTTCGACATTCAGGAAGCTAAAGTTATCTGTCGGCAGCTGAAGATGGGGGATGCAGTTGCTCCGTACTCTTCGGCTAAGTTCGGACAGGGTACTGGCAGGATCTGGATGGACGACACGCAGTGTGTTGGAAGCGAGAGACGGTTGCAGGACTGTAAAATGCACCATGGTACGTAGCTTATTTTAATAATTAAGCCTGCCCTCCCACTCGGAAAAGTTGCTTAAGTCTGAAAAACAAGTAGTACCACGTGAAAGTACTGCTGAAGAGGTTTAATTTCAGTGAATGGAAACAGCGTAGGATTTCACGCACAGACTTAAACGATAGAACTACAGCCGAACCTCCATGTGCGACCACCTCTCGTAAGAGACCACCTCCTATACGCGACTGCCACTCCAAAACAGCAAAATGTTACAAGTCAAAGCCTTACAGTTGGAACCTCCAGTAAACGACCACCTCCTGTAAGCGACCGCGGCCACTTTTTGGGCCTGACGGTTAATGATTGCCCATTGTTTTTAGCCCCTTATACGCGACCACTTGATGCATTATCTGATCTCTATATCTTCGCTGTGTGCACTATGCTACTTGGAATATACGAAGAACTTTAGTGACAACATGGAACTACACATGTCGTAACTTAGACATTGCACGCGATAAATTATTTTCCATAAAGTAGATGTGCCTGGACCTCTTCTGGGAAGAGGCCCCCTGTGGTTCGATTCTTGTAAACGACCACCTCCCGTAAGCGACCACTCAGTCTTGGCATTTTGGGTGGTCGCTTACGGGAGGTTGGACTGTACATACTAAATAAATAGTGCCTTGTGGACGTACTGCTAAAGAGGTTTCATTCTGTTATTGCATTTTATTGTTTTTGAATTTGTAGTTGTATAATGGTGACATCAATTCAATCTGTTTTCAGGTGGATTCGGTGCAAATAACTGCGGTCACTCGGAAGATGCTGGGGTGAAGTGCTCAGGACCTGACCAATCAAAGCGATGCGTGTCGAAGTGTGGCGACGGCTTCTATGACTACAAGGGCACGTGCAAACGATGCCTGTCCAAGTGTGGTAGCTGTCACGGCAGACCTGATTTGTGCTCTCTCTGCAAAAAGCCTTACTTTTTGCAGTTTACTGATTGCGTATTACATTGTCCCCTGGGGAAGTACGGAAATACAAAGACCCGCAAGTGTGTTCCGTGTAATAAGCGTTGTCAGTCGTGCTACGACGGTGAGAGGGATGATCTGTGCAAATCTTGCCCTGAAGGCTTGTTCCTAAGTAAGTTTTATCCTACAATCTCTGATAAAAAAGAAAAAAAGCGCGAGGCAAACGCAACAGGGATAGGAATAAGATATTTTTTCGCGCGCGCCACGCACTCCACAAACACGTCGCGCTGTCCTTCGCTTGCCTGAAAAAGCGATAAAATAGCGCTTTTCTACAAGCTAATTAAGTGGATGCAATCCACAAATCCACTCAAATGCGTCACGCTAACATAAAACGTCACGTAATTTTCGCTCCTTTAGTGGGCCTGAAGTGTGTACCGGACTGTGGAAAAGGCATGAAGCCAGTCTCCTCCATGTTTCCACCGAAACCAAAGAAACCTCTAGTGCGTTTGGTAGATGGTAAAAGTAAACGAGAAGGAAGAGTAGAAGTATTTTACGCTGGTGAATGGGGCACTGTGTGTGATGACGATTGGGACCTCAAGGAAGCAGCTATAGTTTGTAAAGAGCTTGGTTTCGGAAAAGCTTTACTGGCCCCGAAGCATTCATTCTTTAAGAAAGGTCAGTTCCTATTTAAATACACTTAGTCAACGCTTGAGTGTCTTGTTTTACTTTTTGTGTTAAAAGTTTATTGATAAAGATGAATTGTCATCGTTCATATCACAAGTGGCATGGACCAATAAAATGTGAGTTTCCGGCGGGTTTTGAACACGTGAGCCTGGTACAGGTTCTAGGTTCCTGGGTTCAAAATATGGGATACGAACAGGTTCTCAAGGGTTGGAGGATCCATCAGTTCCCGGACATCTAGTCTTGAAATACCTCGTCCTTTAGGCCATGTCTCGAGACGGACACCTCCGTCAGATAGAAATAAAGGAGTCCATTGGAATCCATTTGTTTTCCAGTGGAATCAAAAAGAGCTCTTGGTGGAATCTAGTGGAGTGTGGACAACTCTTAACAGATTTGAACATTAGTGGCTGAAGATAGAATAGTCATTGAAATAATTAATACGTTGTGATATTAGAGGTCTTTAGATTAGAGGATAGGGGTGACTACTTGGACGAGACTTAACTGAAAATTTTCTGGCGGTTTTCTTAAGAAATAGATACATTGGAAAGCTTCATGGGACATCTTTTTTCACCTAAAACATGGTTCTTACGGGCCTTAGAAAGTCTTTGAAAAACCATAATGTCCTTGACAAGTCTTTCAAAATTGAAAAATCATTGTTGTGGGATATCCTTAAGAAGGCCTGGAATTTTCCACAGAAGTCCTTGTTTTGAAAGCGTCTTGAATAAAAATAACCTTTGTGAAAAAAAAGTGTTTTGCGGAAACAAAAGACTGAAAGCACAGAAGTACGCAAATTTTCTTAGTAATCATGATAGTGTGTTTTCTTATGATTTCAATTTCCCGGCATAGTTCATTATCCGTTGTTTGCAGCGCCTTAGGAACCGTTCCTTCCTGTGGGAAGCGATTGCAATAAGCAATCCCTCCTACACCTAGGAATTTGAAAGGTCTTTAATTCATGTTGTTCTGTGTCAAATTACAAAAAAAAATTGTCTTAGTCCTTGAAAAGTCCTTGATTTTACCCCCCAAGATTCTATCTGAACCGCGAAAAAGTTAACCCGGTTATTTTTCTTGAAGGAGGTTAAGCCCCCTCGAGATCGCAAAATGATAAAACTTTTTTACGCTACTTTGACATTCTCACTAAGAGCCGTAGTAGAATGGCGACGGCTATCACGTCTTCCCGCCAAAATGACACTGGTTCACGCGCGCGCACTACTCAGTGTTGAGTTCTCGTTCTCGCCTTACAGTCTAAAGGTAACTATTTTTTCTAATGTGCAGTGTACGGTTATTTGTTTTCGTGTTATAGGAAGTGGTATCATCTGGATGGATAACGTGAATTGTTTTGGCTACGAGACCTCCCTCACTCAGTGCCGGCAAGTTGGGTGGGGTCTGGGTAACTGTGATCCATTCCACCGTGAGGATGCTGGTGTTGTTTGTGATAATGCAACAGTGGAAGAAGTTAGCAACAACTACTGCAGACACCTCAACCAGGGATCGTGTTCAGGTTTAAAGGTAATTAAACTGACCAACACGGTTTTGTAATCGCTCTTTAGGCGATCCAAACCGGCAAGGAAGTAGGCAGACTAGTGAGTACAATGTATAATGATGTTAATATACAGCTAATGACGCGTGACTCTTCTTTTGACAATCACAAGAAATGCACTGTACCTAGAGCTGGCAACATGAATTCGTGCAACCCGTTCTAAAGGTGATTTTACACGAGACGATTTGCAACGACAATTTTTAGCCCAACAATACAAAGCGTTGCAATGTTGGAGCAATGTTGTGACCATTCGAAACAGTGTCGTAACAATGTTGTAATGCTGTGTTGCACTAAAAATCGTCGTGGCCGATCGTCCCATGTAACATCACCTTAAGAGCGAGAACATATGCAACTCAGTGGTGACCAGAGCGGAAAAATATGCACGCATGTTTCCAAGCGCGGGAAAATAAAATAATCCGGCCTTTTTTTTACAGGTCGGTTGCATGGATGTATTTTGTTTTATACCTGCAACGGGAGAAAAAAGGAAGTGAAGGCCAGCTTGACCGACGTCATTTTAGAAAGATTTGCCTACGAACTGCCTGATGAGTTTAATCGTGGTAAAGACAGTCCTCAAGACAGGCCTCGTCTAGTGACTTACGGCAAACCTAATCGTGTCATTTTAACAATGCTAACTATGAGCTCTAGTCTGAATATCTTACTCAGTATTATCTGTTTATAGGAATGTGACACAGCTAACAGAGTAACCTGTGTTGATCTTGATATATTTAATCCTGATGGCAAGCAAGAGTCTGTGTGTTTACAGTGTCCCCTCGGGACCGCCGGAGACGGCAAAGAATGTAGAGGTAAATAAGGCTATATCTCTACGATACCGGACAACTCAAGCTAAAGTTGAAATTTGCCGGTTTGAATCGTAAACGCTGCAGCATGTCTGTTGCCTTGAGTTACGTATGTTTGTTTCGCTGTAATTTTTTTTGTCTTTCTTTCCTTCTTTCTTTTTTTTTTTCACCCTTCTTACCACAGTATTGGAGACCTTTTGATTCGAGGACGGGAACGACCACGAGTACGAGATTTGACTGAAATATTTTTCGCGTATTCTTCAAAACACCGACACCCCGGAAAGCTTCATTGTAATTTCCGAAACGTTAGCACTGTTATCTCTATTCATGGAGAAGGTAAGGCCCTCTCACGATCGCAAAATAATAAAACTTCTAACATGTGATAACTTGTTTCCATCACTACGACATTCTCGCTAAAAGTCGTAGTAGAATGACTATGGCTATCACGTTTTCGCGCCAAAACGGATGCTGGTTCACGCGCGAGCTCTACCTAGTATAGAGAAAATCTCGTACTCTTAATCGTTCTCGTCTTAAAATGTAAAGGTTTCTTATAAAAACAGTGTGCTATCCACGAACGTTGACATCTGTTGTGTCTCAATTCTTTCAAGTTGTGGCCTCGAAGCTCCCGGAATTCGATCGAGTGCCCCCTGTTAAAACAGAAGTCAAGGCCCAAGAGGTGATTAATCTGCGTTGTCGTTCCAAACCCCCGCTGATACTTCCAACCCTAAAAGACTGGCGTAAAGACGGTCAACCTCTCCTTGAGCTGGCTAAGAACTCCAGTCGCATTAGTACGAGCTCAGGAAATCTGCTCATTAGATCTGCCACAAGAGAAGACAGCGGTAATTACACCTGTACCCTCGTCAATACTGAAGGAAACGTTACAAGCAACGTGTCCGAGGTTATTGTAAAAGGTAAAATTTTCAACCTGCTTACTTTTTCGATTTTTATTAAGAACATTCTGTGAGCAGTTTTTTTCTTCTCAGTGGACGTAGACTGCGAGCAAAGCTCTGAGACTCCATCCCGTGATTTGAGAATCAGTAGGCCAAGGCAGTACACACATTGTAATTTTCTATAAACATCTCCCTCTACCTACACACTAGTCTCCCACACATTCGTTTTTGGAATTGTACAGACGTTTGTAGGGCCGGCCGGGAGGGGGGAGGGGGGAGGCGGGGGGGAAGTTCGTGCCACCAATCATACAAACGTCTGTAAAACGTCTAGACTGTACTTTGTGGAGCACTAACTTCGCTTGTTTTGGAGTATCACCTTTACACTGTAATTTTAATGCGCTATTCCCAGCAGTGTCGATGGATATTCGCTTACTGTTCTTTATCAAAAGTGGAAAAAAACTGAGGAAGGGCCCATTTAGCATTAACTACAATTACATAAGGCAGGAGCATCGGGGGGGGACTGTTCTGAATTTCAAACTTGTTTAATGCATTACATCTATGTTTATGTTTTGTTTTTGTTTTCTTCTTTTAATTTGAATTTTGCAGAGGCGCCGCGGATCATCGGTGTCTCTTCAGCGGATGTTAACAGAGGTGATACTGTGAACTTGAGCTGTGTCGTGTCCAGTTTCCCAGGGTCCAACATCACGTGGAAGTTTAAAGGGAAAAGCGTCTTTGCCTCTCCTCAGAAATATGTGTTGTTAGATAGCGTGTACACGCTAAGGATACTAAGCGTGCAGTTCGAGGATGCTGGGCTGTATGAATGCACTCTTGTTAATGAGCTGGGAGAGGCAAGAGCCAATGCGTCGCTTGTCGTTGGATGTAAGTAATCATTGTGGTTATCGTTAGCATAAACATTATGGCCTCTACTTTTGTGGTTCATTAGAGAGCTTTATCAAAGACGTTTTAAGCGACGCACATCAATCAGAAATGAGGCCTTTTCCCTTTCAATATGCCTTGACGCTACTAAATTTATATTGCTGTGTGTCTTCAGTCTTATAGAGACGATTTGCCCGAAAAATTAGGCAAAACCACTGCCTAAGAGTACAAAACGTGCAATTACTGTCGACGTGCGTCGCTTGAAAACGTTTTTGCTTAAGCTCCCTATGTACATAGAAGTTAGTCAGTTCCAGGCTCTCAGATGGTGGGGAAGACGCGAAAGTGTATGGCGCGAATCCCCCTCTCCCCACTTTCCTCCCGTTTTCTTTTTTTTGTTCAAGCTTTCTCAATTCCGCGGGCCCGACTACCTCGGAACCTGGAACAGGCTACATAGAAGTAAAATGTAGCCCTCATTATCGGCGATTTGTCGGCGATTCTATTGACCATTTTGTGCCATCACTAAGACTGGCTGAAAGGTAGGGAAGCCAGTCTAAGAAAATGCCAAATGATGAAACAGAGTAGCTAAAAAAAAAATCGCAGCAGTGACATCGCGACCATTTTTGATTACAATAGGCCACCATTCTACAGTTACAGTCGAATCTCTCGTAAGCGATCACCTGGTAAATTCGAAAGAATGACCGTAACTAGAGCTGGTCGCTTACGAGAAAGAGTTCTCGTACGCGACTGCTCAGTAAAACAATAGGGGGTGGTCGCTTGCTAGAGCTTAATAACTCGTGGAGAGAGAGAAAAAAAACGAAATTAATGTTTAATGAGTGTCTTTAAACCTGATATGGACACGGCTAAACTTAGACCATTACTGCAGTGTGCAGTTTCGTTATAGTGTTATGAATAAAATTCTGAGTGGTCGCTTACGAAGGCTGAAAAATAAAGAGAAAGTCCAGTTGGATAATCCCAAAAGTGGTCGCGGTCGCTTATGGGAGCGGTCGCTTACGACAGCTTTTCATTACAAAGTTGAAGTCATAGTTCAAACGGGGTTTTACGAACTGAAGGTGGTCGTAACTAGAGCTGGTTGCTTAAGAGAGTGGTCGCAAGGAGAACTTTGACTATATTTACAGTGCTTATTGCCCTGACCTTTGACCTTTGAATAGAAGCGAGGCTGAAGGTGGCCAACCTTCCTGTTTCATCACATGTAAATGATGATGTTCACGGGCTTGTCAATATAAGAATAACCCGATTCGTATATGAAAAGTAGGAAAGTTTTTAACAAATCCTTGTCACCCACAGCCTCGCTTCTATTCAAAGGCCAAGATACTGAGCAGACAAATGTAAAAATTAATGACCTAATGATCCCAAAGCTAGTTCTTGCTGAGGCACAAGTTGTTATTAGCGTAATATCTCAGCTACTTTCTAAACTTTAAGCTCTTCGAAAGCCTTGTAATATGAAGTTTTAGTAAAATCCAGCTAGTAGTCTATTATCAATGCTGCGTTTTGAAAGGTTGAGCTACTACTAGGCTATATGTTATAGCCTACTAGTAACGAAAAGCGCACTCTTTTTGGCGGCGAAAAAGGATTTAAGTCTAGCTTTAACTAGCTAAAAATTTTTTATTCTCGATATTTTTGACCAACTAGTTGGATTTTACTAAAACAATTATTCCTCTCGCCCTCATGGCCTCTGAGTCAATAGCCCATTCGGCCTTCGGCCTCATAGGCTATTGACTCGGAGCCCATTCGGGCTCAAGGAATAATTGTTAAGTAGTCACCACTTCAAAGAAGCAAGAAGGAAACTGGAACCGAAATGCGTTCCGCAATTGTTTCTGGGATTGTTACTGGTGACGTGCCGGTCAGCTACTGGCCAATTTTGTTCCCCTGTCCCTAGTAACAGTCCCAGAGGTCTTTGCGAACGTTAATTCGGTCCAGTTTCTTTTTGGTTTTGAAAGTGGTGGATCGTTATGTAAACTCCTCTACTTTCTCCAGTAGGCGTATTGAATTAGTTTATCACGTGATCAACTTTCGGTAAACACGAAAACAGTTCCCTTTTGAAAAATTTTGTTAGCACAAGCTGAAAGAGCATATTAAAATTAGGCATACGGAGAGAGATATAAGGCTGAAAATTTACAGGTTACCGAATTTTAATATGCGGTTTCAGCTGGTGCTAACAAAATTTTTCAAAGGCGAACTGTTCTTGTGTTTACCGAAAGTTGATCACGTGAGGAACTAATGCAAAAGGCCTATCGTTTTGTTGTATTTCCTCTTTCTTCAGTGACAGTTGACTTCCTAATTTTTCCACCAAATTCTAAAGTGGCCAAGAAAGGTGCTGATGTGACTCTTGACTGCAAGGTAAAAGGCTTTCCGCAGCCGCAGTTAGTGTGGAAGAAAGATGGAGAATTATTGACGAATACCAGTCGAGTGTCGGTCATAACTGACGTCGCAAATAAATCCTTTACGACAAGTAGGCTACAGATCCGGAGATTCACCAAAGAAGACGTCGCTGTTTATTCATGTATTTCTTGGAATCGTGGAAGTGTTCGCTTTACACAGACACGGGTTTTGTTAACTGGTGAGTCCCTCTGTTATTGTTACTAGAAGAGCGTTGTCCCCAAGTTGGAAATCCCTGTTAGGTGGTTGACTAGGTTCGTCGGGTTTTTCCTAGTTAACTACATGTAGCCTAAACAGTCCATAGGGTGGGAAATTCTCTCTAAGGCAGACAACAGACCATTTTAAGCAGATGTTTATTTAATCATATATATGTGCTCGCTGACCAATATTCTAAAGGAATTTAAAACAGGCGATAGCAACGATGACGTTGTTTGTAAAGTGCCTTCGCGTTCTTTGAAATTTATGGCAGTTATTTCATTTGGCTCAGTTGGTCAAATGTATAGGCGAGTTTTCCTAGCTTTGAGTTTTCAGGCAGCACATCAAAGTTGAAAGAGAGAACAATTTGTCATCGAGTGTTTGCATGCTCTATAATACGTCACTTCTTGAAGTTTTACCTGTAGTCCTACAGTGACGGCGAAGAGGTGTAAAAAAAGCATGATGTATACATGTATGCAGAGGTGTTGGTTTGGTTGTTGAACCTATTGCTGTTTTGACGTTCCCATTGCCTTTGCCGTCGTGATTGCTGTAACTCCCTATTATCCAGTACGTGCCTTATTTTAACCTTCCGCAGCACAAACACCGTACACTAACAGTAACAAAAAAGTGAAGAAATAAATAAACGTTTTTTTAAAAAACTTTATCTAACCCTGATCTGAATATAAGGTAAGAGCAAAAGCAGCTGTTCTGTATATTTGAAACAGAGAGAACTGGATCTAGAACCAGAAAGCTCAGAAAAAATTCCGACCTCCCGATGAAATGTGAACTCACGACCCTTCGAGGTCTTGATCGAATGCTCTACCACTGAGCTAGTGGAGACTCTATCATGTGCACGGTCGACATTTGATTAATTATGCACCAGCGGTAGCTGGGCTGTACTAGTAGTTGGGGTTACTGCACTTGGGCATTGTACAACTCCTTGAAGTTTTTGCTCGTTATCGTAGTGGATATGAAAATCAGAAATGAGTCCTACACTGCTCACTCTCTGACCATCACTCTTATTCTTTTTCTCTAAAGAAATCGACACTTGTTTGGTGGTTCACGTATTTCTAAGTATCCAGTTATGGAGCAGTAGCCAACTAGACCAACATTTTTTGAGTTTATTTTTGCTGGTTGCAATTGTATTTATTGGTACTGGTTTTTCTATTTTAGGTCCGCCCATGATCATTAGGGCGCCAGAAGACATCTCAGTCCTTTCAGGAACCAACGTTAGTTTCTTCTGCCGCGGTATTGGCTCGCCAACACCACAGCTCACGTGGTTGAAAAACTCCAAGACCATTCAGTCATCCAAACGGATACTGATTGATGATAGGGAGGGTGATGAAGGGAATCTCAAGATCTTCTCTGTAACCGTTGACGATATAGGAACGTACACATGCGTTTATGAGAACGCTAAGGGTGAAGACAGAAGGTCGGCGGTGCTCATTGTGGACGGAGTTCATCCGGAGCAAGGTAAGTTTGGGGTCAACCTGCACCGATTCCAAACAACGTTTGTGGTCGGTTGGGAAAACAATAGGGATGGTGACATAACAATGCCTCTATCCCTGAAAACAATAGGTTGTGCAGGTTATAGGGACCAATGAAATGCTAGGTTTGGAAGGGTGCTGGTTAATAGTAAGTTTGGAGCGAAAGGGCGAGCGTGTTTCTGTAGGGAAGTAGTTATATCAGCAGCGATAGTAACGCTATGAAGATAGTCATTGGCAGTCCTAACAAAAACCAATTTACTTCGACTTGGAACGTTTAATAAAACCAGCTGCTGGAACACCTTAATCTGATGCACCAATTTTCAACCGGTCGACTGGAAAATTTGTCCGGTTCCGTGTGAACGTTGCCTTAAGTTTTGCACTTGGCCTATTACTTTTTCCCCTCTCGAAATAGCCATTTTGAGTCGGCGTGCGAGATGGGTCTTCGCTTTGTCGAATGGCACTAACCGACTGTTTTGAGCACGCTATCGTTCTATTTTGACGGCTATTGCGATGTTGCGCAGGAACCAAAATTCGTCACCCAAATTCGTCCCAAAACAGTCCCACAGAGAAACTCGGCACAACTCTGACCCAGTCTCTCGTGCTAGCTCATAAAGACCCACGCTTAATTTTGTTTAACTGTGTTTATTTCATGTGTCAATCATTTTAGTGTCACCTGCACCCCCTCAAGCGTCCAAGAAAGGCATCTCAACGGGCGCCATCATCGCTATTGTGGTAATTTTAGTTGTCGTCGTCATCGTTATAACTGGTATTGTCTTGTACAAGTACTGTCGCACTAGAGACCAGTCCTTCCAGTTCGCCGTGGACGGGGAGACCCTAAGACCTACTCTTCGCAACCGTATGAGGAAAGTGGTCGGCAAAAAGAACGCGTCTAATATGTACTACAATCATAGCTCAGAAGAGATTAACTTCGACGACAGTAAACCGTTCGTGGATCACGATGAGCTTTGAGGGACATCACGTTAGGCCAGATTATATATAAACTTTTTCGCTGGCTTTCTGCTAGGAAGACGTTCTTGGATTAGTTAAGTCCTGGATTCTCAAGAAGTCAAGACCTTTGGGTGAGAATAAGTAATTAATCGTAAGCGAAGAACCTTTCCTGCTTACTAAACTTACTAAACTATCCTAAAATCGTCGGAAACGCTCGTTTGACATTTAGAAAACACTTGGACGGTTGATGGAGACTTCTTTTGTTAGCTTAACCCGCAGGTCCACACTTTGGAAGTTCTGTTAACGGTTAATGTCCCTTTACATTGTTTTGAAAACATTTTTTTTTCTTTAAATGAAAGAAAAGAAGGTCAATGAAGTGGAAAAGGATATGGTTACTAACAATAACGACGTACTGTTTCACTTCAGTGCAACAATAATGACCCGTTGTTCTAAAACAGTGGAAAGGTGATTTAGATTGGTTAATGCTTGAGCTCCTCAGCCATTTTAAGTACAATAAGTTTACGCTCCGCGCAAGGTGAATATTTTTAAGATGGCCTCGATGCTCAGGCATTATTCTATAAATAGATAGCCTGAAAAAAAAGCCTACATTTTTCGACACCACCACTGGTTTCCTAGCGAAATGACGTCTGAGAAACGAGCGCAGAAATTCCATACTGATAACAGGTCACTACCTAGATCTGGCATGTGTGGGGGATTTTGATTGGCCGAAGGAAATTTCCCACGCGGTACGACCAATCAGAAGCAATACCCAGATTTTTGTATTGACACGTCATCAGTATGGAATTTCTGCACTCGTTTATCAGACGTCATTTCGCGGGGAAACCAGTGGTGGCGTCTTGAAGTGTCAGCTGTTTACTTAGGCTAGCTACGCGCAAAGACAATATTTTTAAGAAGACCTCGGTGCCCAGGAGTTAATCCATAAATAGAAAGTATCTTTAGAATGTAATGACAGTAATGATTTTAATCCCTGGTCAGGCTAGCTTCCATACATACATTTTCATTCGTAATCCAGTTAGCGTGGTGTTCGGCTTTTTAGTTTAGTAGAAAATCTAGCATAATAGTAAAGTTCTGGAACCGAAAACAGACAAATAGGCCATTTCCGAGTTCCAAAAACTCTCACTTTCAAAACAAGGCTACGTGAACAGCTTTTCTTGTTTCATGAAAATATAAAATCATTTTCATTTTAATGGTTTTCAACTTTGTCTCGCATTGAAACAGAGGCTTGGCGAAAATCGGAAATGACCTATTCAATGAATATTTATTCCTGTTGTCTGTGACATTTTCGCCTCTGATTTCGCTAGTGAAAGATATCGAAGGCGATCCGTCCTTTATTCATCCTCGGTGGATCCAGAAACAGTTACTTGTTCTCTTAATAGAGTTTGAGTGCGGTCATCTTGTTATGGATTTATTTGTGTCCTAGCCTGAAAAAACAACCGACATTTCGCTAACCACCTTCGGTTTCTCCGCGAAATGACGTCTGAGCAACAAGCGTAGAAATTCTATACTGATGACGCGTCACTACCAAGATCTGGGTAGTGCTTCTGATTGGATAGAGCAAAGTTTCAACCAATCAGAGGCACTACCCAGGTCTTGGAAGTGACGCGTCATCAGTATGGAATTTCTGCGCTCGTTTCTCAAATGTCATTTCGCGGGGAAACTGAAGGCGGCGTCCAGAAACGCTGGCTGTTTTCTCAAGCTATTTGTGACCTCGCACTTTCTTTTTCTGCTAAGATGTAAAACAGCAAAAAACACCAAAAGGAAACCTTAAAAGTCACCCGAAAACTCAGAACAGCTGTTACTTTGTGTCAACAATTATATGCTTCCATTTACGTCTACTCTTGCGCCTTCATGGCTGTTTCACTGGTCAGTATCAAGAGAGGATAAAGCTCATTTCTTGTCAGTATCTATTCTTTGTATTTGTAAGTCGTTCGATCGCGCCAAATATGGCGTGCAACGCGCACTTAGGATTAGTGCATTGAAGGGAGGAAGTGCCCTCATGATAACGAAATTGCGCGTTTGTTATAACGTTGTTATAATTCCTATAGACGACGTGTAGAATACGAAAGTAGAGAAAGAGTATCCCCGTAAGTGGATTAGTTGGGAGCTTTAGCAACGACGACAGCGACGGCAACGAGGACGTCAAAAAAGCAATAGGTTTATTTATTACGCAAAACAACAACTTTACACGTGCATCACGCTGTTTCGTACATTTCTTTACCGTCCTTGCACGACTACGACGTGAAAATTCCTAATTGCAAGTTTTATGAAGGACGTAAACAAGCGACGACGAATCTCTTTCTCTCTCTGAACTTGAGTGCGGGCCTCAAGAAATCAACTCCAGGGAAATTTCGCCTACACTTACCATTTTCAGCAAATTGGAATAAACTCGACAAAGATTGAAAAAACGGGAATTCATTTTAAAACGGACGTTTTCGCTGCCGTTGCCGTCGTCAATGCTAAAGCTCCCAAGTAAAGGCACGCGGGGAGGGGGAAGGGGGGAGGGGAGAGGTAGTAAATATATTTGTTAGTATAACTTTCATTCATTAATGGTACAAGTTGAGTTATGGTCAATAATCATAGGCCAGCCTACCAAGGGCTAAAAATGTGTCGTTTACTTTATTGGTTCAGAAGCACAAGTCTTCAACGAAAACAGTGCCTTCTTAGAGGCCAACTAACCATGTTTTGTTGACGACCTAGACATACTCTTATATGAGTCTAACGTTCTATTGTCTCATTAACTCTATCATCTACTAGCCTGATTCTCAGACGTCCGATGAGGGAAGCGAAGGGACCGCGAACGACCTCGGACGTCTGAGAATCAGGCTAATCATGTACGCGATATTTCTGTTAATTGGGTGTGGTGTATACTATGATGCGATTTTTGCGTGACCTTAAAATGATTACCCAAGAACAAAACAAGAAACGAACGCCGCAGTCATTAGAACCAACTTTCGAGGAACCAAACAATACTACGCTTTGACGTCATTCTTTATTCAGAAATATGATTGGACAATCGAATGATGCTTTTTTTTTTTTTTTTTACTATTTTACGGTTTTCTTTGGCAGGACTGACGACAAGCCTTGCCTGATAAAACAACTGAAAAACACTTATTCAAGGTCATATGAAAATTGCTCTGTACACTATGTGAACAATTATCTATGGTAAACCGATTTCGGTATAAACACAATGTTGTAATCAATGTATTACCGGTACTCGATAGTAATAACACTAATGATGAGATTGTATCTCAAGCAGAATTTTGCCTCGCGAGGCTTTGTCAACAGGATGTCTAATTTTTGAGCCTTTGCTAGAAACTCAAGGGTTTGACCATTCAATCAGAAACCTCCTCAGTGGTACGCTCATGTGGTACTATTTGTGTCTTCTTCTGTTTTCTGTTAAGTGTTTGGGGGGTTCTTCGGACATCTTCGGCAATGGTCGGACCTCTTCGTTAGTCTTCGGAAATTTTCGACAGTCTTCGGGAATCGTCGGTAGCCTTCGGAAAGCGTCTGAAACAATCTGGAATTGTCGTAAAATGGCCGAGAACTCCTTGATATACTAAACAAAATGATATTGGCCTTTTTGGAGCCGTTTTTGCTTCTTTCTGAAAAAAAAATTTACTGTTTCAAGGAACTTTATACTGTTAGAGTTAAAATGCCTAAAATTTAACTGTTTCATGTTACAAAGCCAAAAAATGAAGTGTTTAGTGTTATCGAGGTACTCCCACGTTAAGACCCTGTTAAGAACCTTCCTCCCCCCGGCCAACCTTTATTATACTTTATTATAGGTTGTTTTCCCATACAAATCCTTATATTTCGAATGTTACACAACAATACCGACGTTCGCCGATGCTCATATTATTTCGAGCTTGGGCTACCTTTGTTTTAAGTTAAAGAAAGAATTTAGATACACAGTACATTTGTAGTAAACAGTTTTAGAAAAAAATATTGATAATAAACAACAACCTAAAATTTAACCGTCAGCTGTCAAAAAAGGTTATTATTTATTTTTTACTGTCAACCGTCAAAAATGCAGAGTAATTCAGATCTCCCTATTTCAGCTGATCTTCACGGACTTTTGGCTCCTGACGAGTCTCTTCACTTGAAAAAACAAGCGCCATGTTGTGACACTCTCTGAGCATTACAAGACCTTACAACTTCGCTATATCTTAAAATACTTGGAAATTTTATATGCGAAATGCCCAACCTCGTCCCTAGGGCGCTTTTCCGTGGCATTGGAGGGAAAAGGGAAAATTAAGCGCCCTGGGGACGAGGTTGCGAAACGCCAAGGAAACCTCCAAAACACAACAGTGAAATATTAATTTATACAGAAGTCAACATTTACTTTAACTCTTGAACTAAATTTTTACTAAATAACCGTCAACCGTCAAAGCTACAGTACAACCCCATTGGGACCCTTTAACTGACCCTTCATGTTCTTCTTTCTGTTCCTTCCGTTCTTCCGCTTCTTACTCAAAATGTTTTTAGATTCGTTCGATCCGTACGGATACTGACGATAGTAACAGTCCGTATGCTTGATTGATACGGATTGATCGTAAAATTTTTCTCATTCTATGAGCCATAAACCCAACCCGAATGAAATGTAACTTTAGTCGTTCTATAAGCCATAAACCAACACAACGCGCGCTCCAAATGTGACATCAACAATGAATAGTACATTTAGAGCGTACTTCGTTGGCGATGGGTCCGGGTTTTTTTCTTTTTTTTGCTTAGTTTATGCTCTTAAAACTAGAAATATAACGTTTGAAAGTCGATATGCAAAGCACTTAATTATTTAATGTTAATTTGAAGCGCGATTATTTTGGTTTATGGCTTATAGGGGAATATTACTTATGAAGCGCGCTTGTTTTGGTTTATGTACGGAGTGACGATCCGTCAACTTCTCTTAAAAAATCGACTTTAAAAGAAGAAGTAAACTGTTGAAGACTGAGAGATATTTATTAATTATTCCAAGAGCCCGAATGGGCCCTGAGTCAATAGCCCATGAGGCCGGAGGCTAAATGGGCTATTGACTCAGAGGCCATGTGGGCAAGAGGAATAATTGTTTTAGTAAAATCCAACTAGTTGGTCAAATATCGAGAAAAGACAACTTTAGCTAGCAAAACGCGATTCAGCTGCCATTGTTTTGGTTTTCAAAGCCGGCGCTTTTCGCTTTTCGCTTCGCGTTAGTGGGCTATAGCATATAGCCTAGTAGTAGCTCAACCAATCAGAACGCAGCATTGATAATCGACCACTAGTTGGATTTTACTAAAAAGTATAATTCATCAAGTTATCGCAGAAATATCAAGGGTGAAGTTCACGTATTTGTTAGGCTGGTATCCAGGGTTAAGCCCCACCAACAGATGGTGGAGTAAGCTTGGAGAGAACGGAACAGAAAATACGACGAGATGGTTTATCTGAAATGGAGAATGCCATACATAGCCTGTGTACAGACGTCCCCCCTCCCTCAGAAAAAATCTCTTCTGGGAGGGGGAACGTCTGTACACAGGCTCTACAGGGAAAAAAAATGAACTTCGAGTGGCGCGCGCGCGTTGCTGGGATCCGGGCCGTGAAAAGTTCGAAGAGTCTGGGTCGAGGTCAAAGACAAAATGGCGGAAACTTCGATTGCAAGTCTGCTGCATCCAAGCTTTGTTTTGGTTTAGTTTCTGGCGGATTTCACCTACTCCTGTCACTGAGAAAACTTTAATTATAAGTAGATTTATGTCACCAAGTGACAATGTCTCTTAAAGCAGGATCCCACTCATCTAAAAAAGGAAGCTTTGGATCTCTGCTGAAAAGAATAGACTCCGTTTCGAGCCGGGTAAGGAAAGCTCATTCATTTGTATAAAGATCCGATCCGGGGGATTTCCAGTCATCCTTATCGATATAAGAAGAAACAGTGTTGGTAAACACTTCCCCACCGCGGTAAACACTTCCCCACCGCCCTGCTTACGCATGTGGTCACAATGCTCTCTGTTCTCATACTGCTCCTCATAAAAAAGACAGCTGCGAACAGGCAGTACACTGTACATAAATCGAGTTAAAACATTTGCATAACAAATGAAGAAGGCCATACGATCGGACATTCACCACAATAAGTATTTATCAACATACCCTAAAGGGTAAACTGTCGGTACAGCTTATGCAATAATGTGATGAGTACTGCATGCATGGGTTAGTGTTCATGAGAGTTTACAGACAACTTTTTCTTCAGAACTGTGTGTATGTTGCAGTTAATTTTTTATCTCAGGTAATTTTTCTTTTTCTTTTGTTTTTGAGTATGGTAATGTATGCTTATGAAGTTGAAACAAAGGAAAAATAAAAATTACCTCAGATAAAAAAAAAAACTACAACATCTACATGATCGGACTGTTGCATTTAATATCCCCTCCCCCCCCACCCCCGGTTGAGAACTTACCTCTTAAGATTAAAGAAAATTGCATTCAGCCCTGAAGACTTCCATAAAATATGGGTTTACTCCCTAAAAAATTTGTGTCTACTCCGGTGTGTACCCCTGAAGAATTTCGTGAAAATTGAAGCTTAAACCCCTAAAGAAATCCTCAATTTTTATAACTTACACCTAAGGAATTCCATTGGTCCTCATCCAGGGGAGAAGGGTACAAAAATATTAAATCCATTATGCATTTGTGTAACTTCACTATTCACAGCAATTTTTGGCAATGACTATTAGGTATGCGTCCACAAAATGCTAATAGAACACTCAAGAAGGAGTGAAGGCCTCAGTAGGTGCTTTTATATATCTTGCAAATTTAGTTCTAATTGAAATCTAAGACCTCTGGAAACCTTAGACCTGGAAACCTAAGCTTTGTGGGTGTAAGACTCCTGTAATCCTAGTAGCCAGAAAGCTATAGATCCCCCCCTAAATAAACGCTTATCATAAAAATAAATAGATCAATCATCCCTTGAAAAGTATTATGTATCGATAAAGATCACTCAGTGTGTATTTATGTCAAGTTTTCTGCTATTTATTCTTCTTTTCTGATGGCCTCCATTTTGCTTCTCATAATAAATGGGGAAACAATTTTGGACTGCTACTCAGAATTTCACAAGTAAGCACGCAAGGGGCAACTTTTAGGAGTTGGGCTGTTGATTTAGCAGGCAAAAAATATCTCCCCGAAAGGTGAATGTTTTTGCAGCAACAATTAAGAAAATTATATGGATCATGTTCTCTCAATGAGTATCACAGGGTTTTTATTTCATTATGTAATCATATTACTTTCATTGTTATTAGGTTGATGAATTCTCATCTCACTTGGATGGCTCTTCAACAATAACATCACCAGAGAGAAAGCAGAAATACCATAGGTAGGTTTTTTTGATCTGGGGTGCAAAATAAATTCCTGGGCTGGGCTCAAAAACAAGTATCAAATCAAATAAGAAACAACTTATCATGTCAGTAATATATTTTCATTAAATGAACAGTGGCATGCCTTTTCTTCTGTCACATTGTGCTAAAGAGTGAAAAACAATATTAACTTTGTTTTTTGGTTATATTTTTCTTTTTGAAGATGAGGATTACTAGTTCGTTAAAGTCAATTACTTCATATTTCTTGCTACTCTAATATCATTCTAAGTTTTAAGGTGTCATATCAACTATGTTAGTTTTTAAATTATTATTTATTATTTATTCTTGACTTACAGTATTTCACAGCATTTATAAACAGTCTGCTAAACACTAGCCTGCTATGCAGATGTTCTTAGGGCTTTGCCATATGCTTTCTTTCTCCATGAATGAGAGAATTGTATGACCAGCCAGAAGAACGCCTGCATGGGAAATCAAGAAGTATTAACAATGTCATTTTGATCTGTGTATGTAGTTCTTGAGATATTTCAATAAACCCTTCTTCTTGTTTCAGCTGTTATAAATTACAGGAAGAAATTGAATTGCTTTCACAACAGCTCTCGGGCCTCACAAAGGTGAGAGTGGATTTAAGCCCCATATGTTTTATGAGTTTAGAGTAGAGTTAAGAGTACACTCTGTTTGTATAAGAATTTATCTTATATGATTATTGAGGCTGAAATTTGCAAAATTTTAAGAATATTTAGGAATAACCCAAGGCTGAGAATTTGAAAAAGATTTGGAAATCTGTAAATACAGTACATTTTATGTTCTTACTTAACTGTAGAAAAGTATTCCTTTCACTAAACGGGAAGAACACTGGTAAGTGAAATCCTGATACATTCTAAAGTGGAAAATGCTATAAGCTATAATTTATAATATAGAATAGTTCAAGAATATTTTCAGCCTAAAATCAACAAAAGAATAAGAATATTCAAGCTGGGCTGGAAAAACAACATTCTTATACAAAAAAAGAGTGTATTTCACCACCATAATTCACATTTAGCCTAAAAACCCTTGCCCATTATCCCAGATATCCAGTGACTAGATATTGCATGTCTTTGAACTTTATTTTGCATCATTTGAAATCACGGTATACTGTATTTAAATTTTCTAGTTACCTGTAATTGATTAAAATAGTTAATTGATACAAAATTGATCAATAAAAACCTAAAAAATTAATTTCAGCAGTCATTTTTGGTATCCTTTTTTCTAAGGCTGACTATGATGGCTCTAAAGAAAATTTCAGTGAACAGAAAAGGAGAGGACAGCAAAAACTGGATAAATTGAAGGTACAAAATGTAATACTTAGTAGATGTCCATGAATTTCAAAAGTAATCAAAATATTAATGTATCACACAGTCTACAGCCATTGAGCAGTTTACAGTTACAGTTAATTGCGTTGACGAAGGAGATGCTTCCTAATTTAGTTGTTTGCTGTTCTGTGTGTTTGTGGGTGTCCTGTGCATGTTTCAAGCACAAGAAATCGA